CACTCGGGCCTGAGGGCGCTCATAAAGGACTGTCCCCATTAGTCGTGCCATAGAGGACTCTAATCTGCAAAGACAACAACTCTGGAAATCAGAGCGCCAGGGATCTGAGTTTTAAAGGTGTAGGTGGACCTGTCGATCACTGGGCATGGATCTGCAGGGATGATAGCCAGCACAAGGGCTAAATCATCGTGTGCTGTGGCAAGCTGCTCTTCCTGCTCGTTGATTGCCATGTCGTTGATGGTTTCTGTGGCTGTGGGGGTGGGATTCATACTGCATCCTGCCTGGAGTTCAGTGGAAAGACAAGGACTGTTCCAGATACAAACCCTCTGAAAAGGAGCTGGTTTTGCTCAGCTATTTCCAGGCATCTCGCTCAGGCAGAGCTGTCCGGTGTGTCACACACTTCCCCTGTAAAGTGTAAAAGCAAGATGGATTTCCCACTGATTTCTTACTCCAACTGCACATGAATGGCTTCCCTCAGATGGGGCTCATGACTGGCTTCTTTATTTGTGAAATAATTTGCATGTTACTCATATTTCCAATTTTCCCATGTCGTAATAATAAGCTATTCTAGACAAAAACTTTGGAGAGGTGATTAAAAAGCTCTCCAAGCCTGAAACAAATTTTCCTAAATCTGATGGTTAGAAAAAGCAGAAAGGAGCAGACTATGCTTGTCATATGCTCAGAAAGCTAACCCTGCCTTTGATGTCTCTGTGAGTTGTCTTGTTTCTATCCTACCCCAATGCAGTATTTCTGAGATGCAGTTTACCTTCTGTGGTGTTCTGGATGATGGCTTTTTCTGTGTCTTTGTGTTGGGTAAAATAGCCATAGTTCCCCCCACGGGATGGTGCAGTGCAGCCTGTATTTGGAAGCAGTGCTGAGGTTTGATGATTATGATAAATGAGGTTTCACACTCCTAGATGCCATCCAGTGTGTCAGTCAGGAACCCCATGTCTGATAAACTCCACACCCAGCTGGGGTGAGGGAGAAATCATTAGTTCCTGAGCTGCTTTTTCCTTAGTCCTGTGTAAGAGGTAAAGCAATATACCTTCACTAGCTTGTACAGAAACCTAAGTAAAGTCAAAAGATAACATCCTAATACTAGAAAGCAAAACGTTGCTGCCTTACTTGAAAACAAAAGTTTGAAGGACCTGGAGCTATTCAGCCCACTTGCTTCCTCTGCTCTGAACAACGTCTAACTAGATCCTGCTCATTTTGGTCTGTACTGGCTGTTTACCTCTTTGGCAAGAGATGGTGCTCCAGATGTTGTGTATTCTGCCTGGCTCCTGCTCACAGGAGGGTAACAAGGCAGCTTTTATGAGTTCAAATTTAAATCATTTCGGGAATGAATTAGTATTTCAGGCCTCAGGCATGCACTGGCTTGAGGCTTGCCCTCTGAACTGATTAAGTGCAGGTTCCTTTTCCAAACACTTTCACACCAGCTATAAAATAAGAGGAGGATTCACAAAATGAGGGATTCTCGGTGCTTTCAGCAGTTGGGAGAACGCTGGCAGGTGTTTGTGTGCCTGCAGCTGAAGCATCACCAAGCTGTTGGAGCTTTTTTCTGATGTAAAAAGAGCTTTCCAACCGTAAAAAGTGGAGAAGGCTCAGTGGAGTGCCCAGGAAGGGCGTGCAGCATCTCAAAACCCCCCATATTCCATTGAGCCGTGCTGGGAACCTGCTGCCAGCAGCCAGTATTCAGACCTAAGTGTCACCACTCTGACGCCTGCTGTGATACACAAAGAGGAGAGGCTGCTCTTGGTACCACAGACAGAAAAGAGACATTTGGAGATTGTTAAATACGCTGTGTTTCTCCAACTGGAACCCCCCTGTATGGTCTGAACCCCATCGTCTGTGCCAAGAGCAAGATTAGGTTCCCTCAAACATATCTAGGTCAGTGTGTGCTTTTGTTGTCCTGACGACAAAATGACCCACTTTATCCTCATTTGTTGAGGCAATTGCGAATGGGACTGGGGCATGACTGAGCACAAAGGCAAATGGCCCTTATCCTGCCTTTGGGTAAGCTCACAGGCAAAACTGTATTTCTACAGAGATAGATGTTCTCTCCTTCTTGCTCTGTATACCCACTCTTGCCTGGTCCTTAGCCAGCACATCCCATTTTAGTGCCTCAATTCATCCATTAAGTAAATGAAATGGCAGTTCACTCAGCTTCCTCAGATTTGCAACAGTATTAGAGAACCAGCGTGGCTGAGGGGCTGCCTAGGAGTGACCAGGACTGAGGAATTGAGATACAGCTTGTGGATTAATCTGTTTGCTTTCACAACTCCAGTGCTAGATGTTGTCTCATGGTATGCCAGACAGCACTTCCAGGACTTCCATTGTTTTCTTGTTAGTAGGAAATGGTTTTTATGACTAAATTTCTCTTGCCACAATCTAAGGCAGGCTGCCTTTCTGCAGTTGTGAATAGTAAATTCCTTCCTTCCTTGTTGCAGTAGCCTTTTACAAATATGAAGACTGCATGACAAAGTTTGTAAAATGCCTTTAGATCTCCTTGGTTGGAGATACCTGTTTAAAAAAAAAAAAATCTTTCTCACGTTGAAAGCACTGAATAGTGTTATTTACTGTGATTTCTATTGTCTTATTATTTCAGGCCTTGTCCAGCAGTCAGGAGATGCAGAGACCTGGTCCAGAGCTTACAGGTATGGAAATGCTTGTTGATATTCCTCACCTTCCTGTTGGCATTCAAGATCCTGCTAAAGTGTGGCAATGTAAGAAGTTTCTTCATTCCCCAGCTCCAAGTTCTCTTGAAGAAATAAATCTACCATGAGAAAATGCCTCTTGATTTGGTCTTGTTTTGATAGATAACGATTCTGCACCACTTGAACAAAGTGCATGTGAAGGGAAAAAGTAATAGATGTCCTGGAATAGGGAGCTAGAGGCTGGGTTTTTTTCTAGCCTCAGCACTGACAGTTTAAGAATAGAGGAATCTAAGCAGGGTGCTTGAAAGCCCAGGATGGGAACATCCCATACTCAGAGGTTTGGCTTCTCCTCCTCTGCCCTCCAGGAGTACCTGTGTGCAAAGCCACGGAGTGTGAAGCCATCTGCCCTCCGCTTGCCGGCATCACTGTGGAGCCGTGCCTGGTGGGGGACGTGGGAAGCACAAGGTAGCTTTACTTGAATGAAGTAAAACTGGTGAATCTTTGAGAGAACTTCATCATCAAGGGATAAAATGTCGTTCATCGCCATGTCTGACAGCTTATTCTTGCAAAATGAAGTGTGATATGTGAAAGGAAATGATTTATCCTCCCCCTTACTTTTTACACTGATATCCGTAGTGGGAGGGTGAGTGGTTTTTCTGGCAGTTTGAAAGTACCAGTCACCAACAATCTCGCTAGCTCACACGCACACATGGCAGTCTCAGCTTAGAGCTTAGACACGGGATAAGCCACGGAGATGGATTTCCTTTTCCAAGCAATCCCAGAACATCTCCCTTCAAGACAATGTTTTCGGTAGGCTGCCAGGTATGAGAGGAATGTTATGCTTCCTAAATATATGTATGAACACATTCACAGGCTCCAAGAACTGAGAGCTTTGACTGGATTTGGCTGAATTTAGACATATTCCCTGAGAACAGCAGGAAATACGGGCTGTTCCCTAGGAGCTACAGCAGTACTGGCTGTGAGGAAGCCATATAGCCGAGCCTGTGAGTCACAAGGACTGCTGTGTGACTTTCCTGGTCTCTCGCACAGTTGGTTCATGGTGTCCTGGGCTGTGCCAGCAACCACTGGTTCTGAAGGTGAAATGTAAGATGCCCATTTTCTAGCCTCATGGAAGGCCAGCTTGAAGAGCAGGGCTTGCCCACCACTAGGAAAGCTCTAACGGCCTGTTGAGCTGGGCTTAGCTGACGTTTGTCTGATGCTAAGAGCATCTCTAGCATTTTCTCACAGGATAATGGTCCTTCTTCAAAGCAGACTTCAGCCTCAGGCACAGGGTGTTGGAGAGCTTTCAGAGTATCAGGCTCTGCTGTGGAAATGGAAATGATGATGTGGACCTTTGGAGGGCAATCTGCAGGGAGCCAGCGGGATCTGTGAGCTCCACCGCCAGGAAGTAACCACAGAGTCAAGGAACACCACCAGTGTCTGCATGCCACCATGGGAGAAACGAGGAGGAGTTCACTGAGGAACAAGACTAAATCCCTGCAAGTCTGTCTGGGCTGGGCTGGAGGTGGTGGCAAATCAAATGCTAAACATTCTTGGAGAGGGATGTCCCTCAACAGGCTGTGAGTGGCAGAGCCATGCTGGGATGTCCCCAGCAAATGAATCCCAACCAGCTGCAAGTCACAGCTGTTTTTCCACAGCCTGGTGGGCCCATAAAGGGTGAGGGTTGTGTGGGTTTTATCATTATTCTGCCTAACATGGTGAAAAATATTGTCCAATAAATTCTGTCTTCCACAGAAAAAGCTGCAGTTCTTCAGGCACAGAGCTGCTCTGTGGTGGCCCAGCTCCTGCAGAGGTTGCCCTGGCTCCTTGATGATCTGTCCTCAGTATCAAAGATTCTTTAAAACCCAGTGATTAGTGACAGCAGTGAACTGCTCACAAAGTTGTTTCAGGTATTTTTTATTCTCCTTGTGCTGAACGTTCCCAGAGTCTTTACTGTATGCCCATGTGTGTACTTTAATGTGTTTGGGATAATGGCTTGCAATTTTTGCTTTAAGGTTGCTGAGCAGCTGTTGTGCTTCACTGTCCAGATTGTCCTCTTTTTTTTTATAACTCACTGTTTGTCCCTTGCCCAATTTGTCTGTTGGAATCCCCAGCCTTTCTGAGGAATACAAAACCCTGCAGGTTGCTCTTCTGGGTATTGAGGAGACCCTGTTCAATCTCCCTTTCAATTGTTATACACAAAAATCAAAAAGGGAGATGTGAGCATTCAGTTTCAGAACAGAGCACAGGAAAAGCCATCCATTAACATGAATGTGACATCCCTTGGTCCTTCTGTATTTCATGTCCTGCTAGCAGGTCAGCATCCCCCATGTCCTCTGAGCTAGGTGTACTCCTGGGTGTGGTCAGGGAGACTGGGGGAGAAAAGGAGAAACATTTCTATCTGGTGTATTGCTGTTTGCTCGTCAGCCCTCGTCAGGATTTGGGGTATGGCAGATAGTTACCAAGTCTCTTCCTTCCCTGCACCTTTCCTGTTGTATAGTCTGATGCTGCCTTGAAACAAACAGCTGTTCTCCCTGACACTTCTGGTTAGAAGGATGTTACAGCCCTGCCAGAACACTTCTGCTCTGTGGTAGCAGCATCTCTGCTCTGGCCGGAGCAGCCCACCCCTCTCTGCCTTCCAGCCTTCCTGGCGTCTCTCCAGGCGATGCCAGCAGGTGGGCAGCACCTTCTCATCCCACCAGTACCACCGTGTCAGGAGCTGGACAGAGTCCCCTGACAGCTGCAGAGTTAGGGCTTCAAATTCCTTCTCTGCAATGAGCTGGGGCACAGTCTGGTGCCCATAATGGTCCTTCCCCCAGACAGGAGTCCCTGCAACAGGTTGAAAAGGTCCAGCATTCAGGCACTGCTGCTGCAGTGACAGCTGGGATGTGGACTGGCTGCCTGCCTTAGCACCTAGGGTTGCCAGGGAGGGCTTCTCGGGCTGCTTGCTGGTGACTGCAGCTGCCCTGTGGCTTTGTGTTGGATGGGGACAGCCAGGCAGAGCCCCAGCCTGCCCCAGGGTCAGGGAGAAGAGGCTTTACAGCAGCTGCTCCTCAGGCCTTCACAGTGTGCCTGGTGGGGTGGAGAGCAAGGGAGGTGAGGTGGTGGAAGCAACAGAGCAGCATAGGTTTGGGGACCTTGGCCAGTGGTGCTGTAAGATTGGCTTTGGGGTGGATGTTGTGGTTTAAAGCTGGCTGCAGCCAAACACCACAGAGCCATTCACTCACCCTCCCACATCCCTGGGGAATGGGGGGAGAGTTGGAGGGGTAAAGGGTAGGGAGACTTGGAGGTGGGAGGTAAAACCAATTTAATAATTGAACTAAAATAAAATTAATAATAGTAATAAGAGAAAATGCAGACGGGTAATGTACCTGCTTTGATTGCTCACTACCCGCTGACTGATGCCCAGCCCATTCCCGGTTAGTGATCCTAAAGAGGAGAATCTTGAAACCACCGTCCCAAAGCTTGAGTGGAGCTTCCCAATCAACCCTTACCTACGTGCTGAGCAGGACGTTAGATGACACGAGATATTCCACTGGCCAGCCTGAGTCCCTTGTTTTGGCTGTGCTCCCCCACAGCTTCCTGTGTACCTGTGCACTAGCAGGACCTGAGAAATTGAAAAGTCCTTGATTTCATAGCAACAACTAAAACCATCAGTGCATTATCAACGTTCTTCTCATATCAAATCCCATACTGAATCCAAAACACAGCACTAGTTAGCTACTGAGAAGGAAGGAAAAAAAAAAAAACCACCAACCCAATTAGCTCTATCTCAGCTGAAACGTGGACAGTGGAGAACTGCTAAGGGAGCGGGACTGAGCTGGGGACTTTGGTTAGACTGAAGGCTGGGCTGGGGAAGAGTGAGATCCTGAAAAGCATCTGGTATCCATGAAATCTGGAAACAGCCAGAGTGAGCTCAGAGCACAAACCCCGGGGTAATCCCTGAGCAGTGCCCTTTCGGTGCGTGTAAGGGAAAGAGGCAGTAGTGAAACCTTTGTGGCTGGCTCTGCTGAGCCTTCCAGGTACGCACTGAGGAGCACCCCCGGGAAGATGCTGCCCGAGTGCCTGCTGCTGCTGTCGGCACAGGGGACACGGTGCTGCTGAGGAGGTGGGAGCTCCTGGGGGCAGTAATGCTGTGGTGAGGCTCTCAGGGTCTCTGCCCCTCTGTCGCTGGCCTCTGGTGGAAGCATCTTGAGGGAAATCAGGCACAACTTGCACAAAGACTTAATTGGTTATTTATTTACGGGTGGCTTCAATTATGCCCCCTGGGACTGCGTATTTATTTTCCTTGTTCAACAAAACATTCTCCCTTTCTAAAACCAAAACAACCCGGCACTTTTGCAGGTGTCTCAGCCTCCTCTCGCCTTCTGCCAGGTGTAAAACTCTGGGTGTGCATTTCGGCTTGGGGCTGTCAAAATGCTTCAAGGAAGCTGAGGTGGGCTGCTGGCTGTGGGGAGCTGTCAGTGGTCAGAAGGAACGACCGGAGGGATTTGAGTAGGGCAGAAGCGTAGAACAGGTATCAGCTTGCAGTGTGACACCCCGCTCTCTCCCTGGTGGTTGCTATGGCAGTTTCATTTCTGGTTCTTTGCATGGGGAATTTGTATTTATTCCATAGTTACTGAGAAAACCTCCTCAATATTGAGGTATTGGGCAGGAAGCAAGCTTGGAGCAAGAGCTTCTTGCCTTATGTGTATTATGGGTATCTCCATCTGCTTCTTATAGCTGCTAGTTAATACACACAACCTGTTTTCTTCTGCTCTGAAGAGACTCCGGTGTTTAGGGCTGGACCATATGTGTATGCTTGTCAGGGCTCCTTTTGCCTTTTAGGGACTACAGGCAGTTACTGACATCTTGGCCTCATCAGCTAGCTGATTTGTGAAGCTGCTGGGGCCGGCTCATTACTTTTGAAAACCACCTTACTCGTCCAGTAGACATGAGTGTGTGTGGCCTGCTCTGTATGTCTCACTTTAGCCGCAGGGATGGTGCTCACAGTGAAGGTGGGACCAGGACAGCTTGCCAGGCTTCAGTTTCCTCCAGAGAGGATTGTGTGTTTCTGTGAGCAGGGTCTACAAGCTCAGAAATACCCCATCTTAAGTCAGTTACCTCCACAGATTTTTTAAAAGATTATTAGACTAATCAACACTACCATAAAAACAGTGACATGGGAAAATTAAGTCATTCTATCACGTTTAATTTTTAGATCAGTCTGAACACTAGTGGTATGCAACTTTAATTACTGGAACTTGTCAAAACACGTTGAGATATTCAAAATCTCTCAGTAGGGATTTCTCCTGTGAAAGACTTAGGGATTTGGATCATGGGTGACCAAGTAAGTAACTTAAGTTTTTCAGAACAAAGAACCTCAAGACTAGGGTATTTGCTGCAACATTTCAAGCCTATCTTCTATCATAGAAGATAATAATCCAAAATATTTCAGTAGCCCCTTTTATGTTAGAAGTTCTGTGCAACTTAGTATAATTAGGACTAGTTTAAGTACCCCTGAAGTACATCCAGAATTTATACAGGGAACCTTTTTTCCAGTTGAATATAGAACCAAAAGGATGATGTAAACCCTGATGTTCAGGTGCTGTGGTTAGCCACCTAACTCTTCACTGAAATCCATACAACTCAGGCATACAAATATATTTGATACAAAAGTTTTAGGAAATAGGTACAGTAGTATTTGACTCCTAGGAGGCTTCTAAGGAGATGGAAAACCCATGAACATTTGGGCCATGTCTGCATGGAAGAATCTGCAGCACAACAGGAGTTAGGAATTTGGAGCCAGATTGTCTACTTGTCGTTTTAGACCTTGCACTGAAAATGCAGTTCATGTTGCTATCATCTGAAATCTGTGCTGAGTTTCATACAGATGACGTTGTGGTTAAGCCTTGTAAAACTGTGGTTTCCAGATGTCTGCGGGCTTGTGCCCACGTTACTACATTACCAATGCGAGTGCATTTTCAAGGTTCTAGACTTGTCACACTGTGTTTTGATTTGCTAAGATGAAAACTCTGGATCTGGCAATTTTGGATTGTAGTTACAGAGTACAGCACAGCAGCATTGATCCAGAAAAATAGATTTCTTCCATCTTTCCGTGGCAAATCCTCCAGCCTATTTTAAGAGCACTCAGCCCCACTGTTGGCCATCTCAGCAGTGATAAACAGCCACAATAAAAGGCAATTCTACCTACAGGGAATCTTTTCATACAGAGTCAAGTCTGTAAAATTTTTATGGCCGCTTCTCTTGCTGTGCTTTTTACAAGGGAGATTACCACTTTCTAGAAGAATCCTTGTGACACCTCTTAAGTGACATATCCACTGAATTAAATCAAACAACAAACTAGGTAAATTCAAGAGAAATTAAGAAGACAAAGCAAATAGGAAGAAAAGTACGTGCCTGTATGCACACAAACACAAGGATGAGTGCTCACTCCCAGTGCCCACGTATATGCACCCTCTCCTGTTCACTGATACACAGGTCTTATATTCATGGATACTTTTCACACCTGCAAGGTTAAAAGACATGGGAAATATAAAGGACATTTTTCTCCTTAGATATGTTTTATCATGAAATTATAATTTCTTAATAATGGGAATATTCTCTCCCCCAAATTTTGTAAACATTCGTGGCACTACATAATCGTGTGATAAAGTAGTACAAGAGAGAATGCTAAAATTAGGATGGGGAATGGCTGTATCTGCAGCTTTCCTTGGGACTGTTCTGAGTGAAAAGTGATCACTAGTGAAGTCTGCGCCAGTGTCAGAGGAGGAAAGCGCTCTCTTGGGTTAGGAATTACCATATCTGCACTGCTCAAGCCGTGTAATACCCCTGGAATAATTCATTAGCTCCCACCCAGCAGCAGTTACGGGAAATCCTTGTATCACTTTACACTCCAGCCCACGTGAATTCCAAACCTCACAGTGAGAGAGCGGGTTCAACTCATAACCCTGGTTTATGGTGAAAATCTGTTCACGTGTCACATCCTTCATCCCAAAACTGTTCCTGAAAATACGTGAGGTCTGTTGTGACTTGGACGGGTGTTCTAGGTAAATTCTTAACGTAGTTGTGGCCTTATATGCCCACGAATTTCAAATGGTCTGCAGTTCTCATACATTCCTTCCAGAAAGTGCAGCTCTGCTGCTGTAAATGCTGACCTGTCTCCTTAGGCTGGAGACACTGCACTGTCCAGCCAGCGTATTCATCATGTTACAGCCTACTGGAGGAGATGCTGCAGTGTTTTTTTTCTTTGGAAGGCACTTTCTTGTGGAATGGAGAGCCTATCTAAGCCTGTGTTTTCTTATTTAAAAATGGAGACAGAGTGAGTGATATTTCAGAAGAAGGGGAAACTGAGTTTTGTAATTCCTTAAAATCTGAGTCATTGCTACCCGCTGCCAGTTACCACTTTAGGAGCTCAGTCTGGCAATTGTGTCCCAGTAGGCAGAGGAAGTGGGAAATATTTGGATATTGTCCAAGAAGTGAAGTTCTTCACAAATATTTCTTGCTGTTACAGTGGTGGATGGGAATCAAGTGTGTGTTGCCCAGGGTTTTGTGAAAGCCTGCAAACTTTGCTGTCTTGTGTGCAGACAGGCGTTGTGCTGCCTGAGCTATTACTGCACAGCAGTGCCTAGGCTGAATTTGGCCTCGCTGCAAATGCCTTTAGTTTTTGAACTAATGCAGAATTCTGCCATCTCTTACATCTTCGAAGTGCAAACTGGGTGTGACGGAAGAAAGCTGTACATAAAATGCCGCAGATTATAAGCATTTTCCCTTTCAAATGAAGCTGCATGCTTACAGCTTCTTTGCTAAACATGGTGCTCTCAACCTCATCGTAACACTCTGCAGACTGGCAGAGAGAGTGCCTGATGCATTCAGCAGCTTCAGGACTTTTCAGTTTATTTACCTGAAAAAGAAATGAGCTGATGAAGATTCAGACCAGGCTGCTGGAGGGTTGGAAAGGAAGAGGAACCATTTTCCCACAGAGAAGATCCCAGCGTGTATCTGGACTGAAGCTCATGCTGCTACTCAGCAAAGGTTGCTCGTTAAAGGGGAGATGCCTAATGGCAGTGAACACCTGTGGTACCTCTCTCCAGAAAGCTGGCTTGCTCCTTTTTTTTAAGGAAAGCCTGGGAAAAATTTCAGCTACTTTGACAGGAACAGTAGGAAATGGTTGACAGTCTGCACTGAGATGCAGTGAAACTTCGCTGCATCCTGGAGCGATCCATCTGTATTTGAAGAGGACAGATATCTCTATAGCAACCAGTGTTTGTCACTTGGGCAGAATCCTCAGGGATTAAATGTGCTCTCTATCAGGTGCTGTACACCTGAGGTCCCTTTGTTCACTACCCTTGGCTATTTTAGATATAATTGTCTTTGTATTTTAGCATCACATAAGCCTGCCAGTACTAGTATCGTTCATGGTTCAGGCACTCCCAGCCATTTAAAGCAGGTTTCTTAATACCCAGGGACTATGCCTATGCTTGTCACTATTTGCCTTCTTTCAAGCTGTGCAAGAGTGAATTTACTAAAAGGTGTTTAAACTGTACACAATAAATGATGCTCTGGCTACATTTGGACTGGGGTACCATCCCCAGATGAGTGGCACATAGGAAAAGATAGAAAGAGAAATGTAATAATTTAAAAAAAAAAAAAGGCAACTAGGTAGAAATGAGAGAGAAGAAAAAAGACTTCCTAAGGGATACTACAGCTAACAGTGGAACTCCAATGATGGAAGCTGTTTGGTTGTTGCTCCTAGTTTTGAGTTCTGTAGTGCAGGACAACATCCATAACCCACCTGCTAATCCCCCCACGGCGGGGATCAGTGTGTGCTGCTGCAGCGCTCGCCCCTGCTGCCCATTGCAGAGCTCAGAGGCAGGAAACTGCAGCTGTCAACAGAGAACAAGTAAAAAAAACAAAATCTTTGTCCAAGTGCCCTTGGAATGCCCAGGGAGAGCAGGTAACTGGTGCAAACATCTCAGCAGAGGCCCTTCCATGCTGGTCTGTTTTCCAGTATTCACAGCACGTTGCTATTTCGGGTTGTTTCAGTGTGTGTTTCGGTATTTGTTCAGTGTAGCTTTTCCCATCAGAAATGCTGCTTTCTCCACGTCCTGTGGAAACAGAGATGGTGCTATACCAACCAAGCAGACTCATTCGCTCGGAATCACTTTCTGCTTCCCCATTTTGTCGCAGGAGACCGTAAGCTATTATTTTTGTGGCTTTTTGCCTTTTCTAGGAAACTGAACTGAGCATGTCAGAGAAAACCAGTATCAGACAGAGCAGCTGCTGTGTTTTTTCTGTTTTTCTCATGAAATGAGATTTAAGAAGCTGGTGTCTATCCTTGTCTGTATCCCCTCTGTATCCCTCTGGCATACAGAGGAATAATCAAAGAAAATTAGTAATCTGTATTTATGGCCCCTTTTGCAGACAATACTTGATTAATCTCCTCAGTCATCTAGCCAAATAAGAAGAGATTAACCGACATCCTAATCTGTCATAAATCAAACAGGCAGGGAGACGAAGCATCTTACCTTGAGACAAACATTACAGAGAGCCTGCATTAGGGTTTAGCCTACATTATTCTAAATCTAATTTAAGACAACCTTAGGACTCTATAAAGTCACGGATTTTTAGACTGTTCTTGAAGGCACTGCAAAGTGTGACATGCTGTATGCATCTCACACTGCATGTACCTGTCATTATTACTGATTACACTAATTCTTGTCACCAACAAACCAAAGAAAATTAGCTCACTCACTGATTCAAGCAGTTGGTTGCAATGGGACCAGAAGTCCCCAACTAGCAGATCTTTTTTTTGAAAGTCAATGTGTGCCAGCTCAACTGAGAAGCATCAGGGGCTGGGATAACTGGAAAAGCAGCCGCTTGCTTTCTGCAGGAATTCAGCGTTTAGGTTACAGTTTCTGGTGAGTTTTTTTGTAATTTGCAAATCAAACAAAATCAACCAACTAAATCTTTTCCAGGGACATTTTTTATTTCCTCAGGCTATAAAAATGTTCAAGCCTCTAAACATAACAGACCTGTTTTCCTGCATTCCACGCCTATAGCCTACCTGTACCCTAAAGCGAAGATGAAATCACTCTCACACTGATTCTTCTTAAAGCATTACATTTGAAAGCTCTCTAAAAAAATTCCCTCCCCAGATTCTCTTTTGGAACATAAAGGAAACAGATAAGGGTCATGATAGAAAATATTATAAATGGTGTTTTTTTTCTAGGGATAATGTGTGAAAGATGCAAATTCACAAGTGTAAAAGAGAGACCAGACTCAAATATACTCATGAATGTTGATCTTAGCACTATCAACATCTCCTTTTTGTCATAAATGTCATCACAGAGGTGAAGAGAGTAGCAACAGTGAGTCACGATGGCAGCAGCAGCAGCGTGGGCTCTGGCATGATAGGGAACTTGTTTTCTCACCGTCTGTCTGTTCCATGAGCCATCATCTCCCAACAGCTTGTTCACAGACCACATGAGAGCAGGATTAAATTCTTAGCTGGGAGGTAATTTTGTGGGTGTTTACCAAGTCAGAACCACTGTTGGTGCCTGATGGAATCTAAACCCCTTTCCTCAGAGTGGATGAGCACACAGGACAAACCACATCTCCTTGGGGTCAGTAGTAAGAGCATCCTAAAGAGGTAAATATCAGCATTCTGTGTGCAGAGTAACTGGCTCAGCTTTGGTATCAAGAGTGTTATTTTCTCCATTGCTAGTGGTTTGCCTTGTCAGTGTCCTGTCTTCTTAGCAGAGATGAAAGCAGCTCATACTAAATCCAAGCTTTGTGAGCTTCCTAGAAAATCTTTTATGGATGTATATTCTGATTTCTCATTATTTTGACAAAGAACTGAAATATCTTGAGAGAAAAACCCCTGCTGCAGCAAAAAGCTGGTGAAGGTTGTAGGAAATGCCATGCTACACCAGCCTTACCTTCCATATAATCCTCAGTCTTCCAGTAGCCAGTTGGGTCTTTTAAAAGAACAGCACAAGAGCCATAAGGCAGACAATGACAGCTAAGGGCCCAAATAAAGATGTGCTACTGTGAAATGCATAAAACTGTGGTTTTTAATACTTCTATGCATCCTGTGTGCTATTTGGACTGACACTCGGCACTGAGCTAGTGCTCTACACCTTTAAAGCACCATACAGCCAGGAATTAGGCAGCAGGAAGAAGCAGGCAGGCATTTGGCAGCTGATCACCTGGCAGGTGTTAAAAGGAACAACTTCTCTTGATCAGGAGATGGCCAAGGTAACATCCATCTTTATCTTTGGGGTCTTTCTGCTTAGCTGGATTCTAAGATTTGCTAATTCGCTGGACAGAATGTGGAAGAATGTACACGCTGTCATTATAATAAAAGGAAAAGGGGAAACAAGAACACTGGCTGCTCTAGCTTGATGTTCTACTGTATTTGCTTTGCTCTTTCTCACATAAGCTCTTCAGTTTATTTACTGCGAAGAATTTACTAATATTTTCTGTAAAATTATCCTATGGGTTTGTGGGGTTTTTCTTCTACAAACACAATAAGATTGTAGAGCTTTCCCCATCTGTGAAGCTGATCTGCAACGATGAAAAAGCTGTGGACACTGGGTTTGGCTCACCCCGTGTAACAGCAAAGGGAAACCTGTCAGTCAACAAGAAACGCTGACAGCAGCAACTGAAACACTTTGCCTTTTCCATCAGGCAACCAGGGCCTCTTTGAGGATTAAACCTATTGCTAAATTTAGCTGCATCTCACTGGAGTTAGTATCAGGAGTTATCAGATCAGAACATCTTTGGAGGGAATGACGTCTGTCCCGTGGAAGTCTAAGCCCTGGCATGCTTCTTTCCTACCCTGCACTGCAGCAGGGTTTGGAGCCGGGAACGTTCTGCACAGCCAGCACAGCATGGGACTCTCGAGACGTGGTAGGGTTTTTCAGAGCACTTGAAATATCTGTTCTCATCAGCCTGCTCGTTTATTGTTCTGTCCAGGTCCTGAGCAAAATTTGTTGATAACACTGAAATGGATGTCACGGGAGGAGAGAAGGGTTAAACCACATGAAACATTCTGATGTTTTTTTCTGGAGTTTTTTTTCAATATGCATACGGCTTACACTGACCTTCTTTTCCATTGGTTGGGTCATACAGAGACTTTGAATCCCACACTTCAATACAATTTACATTCTCAACTGCTCTGATTAATAAACATTTTTTTAAAGTTAGACCGGGGGGGGGGAGACAAGTGAAACCTTTCAGAAAATAAATAACCCTTTGCATGTCCTCATTTTGTGAGCCAGGCAGATTGCCCGGGTCCTGTTTCCCTCTTCTCTCTCATTCGTGTGCCATGGAAGCAAGTTCCTCCCTCTAGAAAATGCCCAGCTACCATTTTCATTCTGGTTGGAGCAGAGTCTTAAGGAAGAAGCATAGGTAAAGTAGGGCTTCCAGGGGTGTAGGAGCAGCCCCTGGAACCCCCTGTCCCTGCTGCTTTTTGAAAGATCCACCTTTGCTTCTTGGGATGAAGGACGCCTGTCTGGAACCGTACCAAAGATGACCAGTGCTGAGCCATGGAAATTCAAGAAGGGTTCCCTATCTCTCACTATGAAAGGCTTCACTAAATGAAATTTGTGACTCTTCTTTATGGCAGTTGCCTTCTCTATACTAATCCTGTTCCAGACAAGATACTTTGAAGGTGTACAGAGCTTTAATTTTAAAATTATTCTGGAATATTTCTCCTATCTGTTCTTGATTAGCAGCTAAGATTTGACCCTGGCACTTCAAAAGCAGCAGCTAAGAGTACTGTGCCAAACAGATATTCACACTTGTTTAAAGCATTTTGATTTCAGTTTTAAATAGAAAAATGGAAACTCCACATAAATATGCTAGAATTGGGGGGGCTGTATATGCATGTGTATATTTACCTGTCCCAGGTGAATGTTCTCCTTCCTCTTACAGTGACAAGAGGAAAGACAGAGTCAATTGATATAAACACCAAAGGAAGTTACTTTCTTTATTTCCCTCCCTGAAATCTCAGAAAGTCTGCTTGGATGACAACATGACAAATAAAAAAAAGCAACGGACCTTTTACCATGTTATTTCCATTTATAACATGCTCAGGTATACTTGTAGGCAAACTTATCAAAATTTGATCTCTCTCTGTAGTTAGAATCATTTTGTCATCAGGTCAAGGAGACTTTAAGTAGATCAAGGAGCGTGTGGCTTCTGAGACTGATCAGAGTAAAAGAAACACACGTATCTCCTCAAGTGCCAGTGGACAATCGGAGTCACTTCACAATTTTTATTTGTTGGCGGCTTTTATAAAACAAAATTCCCTTGAATCATACATCTCATAAAACATTTATAGTCTTGTGCATGCTAGGGAATACATCAAGTTTCAGTAGACCAGTATCTGCAAAACCAGACAGTGGAGGTGTCAGGTAGAATTCTGGTTTTCTACTGGAGGGAAGGGAAACTCACAAAATTAAGGCACTGTCAAAACCCAAGCCCGCAAATCATTTGACCTTTTGTCAGGCCCTTCATCTGGTTGTATACAAGAATATTTTTTTTCATTTTTAATTAACCGTCAATTTCAATTTTGAACAGGGACACCAAAAAAAAACCCCAATGACCCCCCCACTTTTCTTAAATCCTCCTGTTTATATTCCCAGTTGCAAGATGACAGCAGCAAACCTTATTGCTGGGGCTGGCAATGTGCTGCTTAACAGAAAGCCCAGTGCTACGTCCCCGTGCATCCCACTTCCACTGCAGTGATCCCAGCCCCTGGATAACGACACTTCCAAGAAGAAAATCAGTTATAAGAACAGCTTAAAACTAGTCTAAAAGCTGGTATTCACTAAGCAGAACATAAACAAGCTGACAGACTCCTCCCTGAGCCATGCGAGGCATTTCACCTTCACACGCTGGGCACAAGCTGCTTTCACAGAGCAGTAGTTTGGCTGAAAGGGACCTACGCAGGATAATCAGTATCTTCAGCTGATGTGATTTTATCAGTCCTTAAAGTAGTTTTAATCAGCTGGTGGGAAACCCACTTCTTCAGCCTTTATACCTTAATTTAAAAACACAGGAAATGTTCCTTCTTGCACCCAGTGAGTGTTCAGGCTGTCCTTCAGCACACCAAAATCACTGCTTCAAGCACAAACCAGCACGTAGCTGTGGGCTTAGGACCATACTTAGAAGTATCCAATTCTCAATATAAAGATGCAACATTTTTAAAAAGCCAGTTTCAGGTCCATGAACTAGATGCCCTGGCAATTATAAATAAATAGTAATAAATACTTATTTACACTCACACACCCTTCTTGTATCCCACAGGATTACAAACAAACCAGAACCATGCTTCTTCCCTAGTTAAATGTGATCAGGCTTGAGGTGGGACACACTATTACTAACAGTGTGCAGCGAGGCTACACCACAGTTTGGCATAATAACAATACCAATACATAGCACTCGGAGCATTTCACAGCTTCAAAGCTCTTGCAAACACAGGCTTAGTTAAGAAAGGGACAGTGTTCTATCCATGAAGAATCAGAGGGAGCTTAAGTGAGAGAAAAGGAGTTTGGCTAGGACACCAGTCGATGTCCTTATTGCATATAAAATGTCACATTAATTGGAGATATGGCAGATGTGGGAGCTCGGAAAAATTAGATCAGGCTCGTATAAGACCATTTAATTTCCTTGAGTACGAAATCCAATTTCCACATTGATTGTGTCTTAGCAGTTTGTTGTTTTGGTAGACATCAAAAAGGTCAGTGAAAACTCAAAGGAACTTATGAGGTGCAGGAGCACAAACCATTACCTCCATTCATAAATAAACCCAGTGAAAGATTTTATATCAATTGAAAATGCTGCATCATAACTGCTGACAGCTTAGGAGCTAGCACCCACTTACCATCCTGGCACAGATCTACAAATCCCTGAAAATATGATCAGAATAGAGAGACAGAGACCAAGAAGCAAGCAGCAGCACAGAGAGCACAAATGAAATTCAGGGACCCGCGTGGCAGTGTCCTGGCTTCCACCTCTCCTCTGGAGTCTGAGAAAGACTGGAAGATAAAGGAGGTCACAGGTGGCTCTGAGACTCAGCTCTGGAAGAATTTTCTTGGCCTATTTACTGTGTGGTTGTTTTTTTATTCGGCTTTTTTTGCTTTCCGTTTCCTTGTGCCTTCATTTAGCTCCTCTTTTGACTTTGCAGGAGGAGGCGGAGGATGGGAAACCTCATGGGAGGCCCCATGCTGATCATGATGACTACTGTGTCCACTGGAAACTGAGCCAAAGAAAACTGGGCAGATGAAGTTTTCCACTGGAGCAAAAGGTGAGGCGTGAGAGTGAGTTGCCATCATGAAAACCTGCCGTGCAACAGTGAATACTTAAAGTTAAAGATCACATACACCAGCTATGAAATACTAACTAGTAAGGAGCTTTCAACTGACCCCGGATAAAAGTCCCTAGTGCTACACGACTCAAGGCTGTATCACAAGGATCTTCCACCTCCACTCTATGATGGAGAATTTAGCCTGTAATTTCCCAAGCAGATCTTTCCTGTATGTTCAGCCAGTGCCTTCAACAGTGCCTTAGGAAGGTGAACACCCCCAGTTTAAGTCCGTTCCCTTTCTCTGGTTCTGTAGATTGGTTAGCAGCAAACCTGCTGTAAACTTACCTTGCAAACTATCATGAACATGGTGAAAAAGAAGATGAGGTTGGCTTCAGAGATGGGGAGCCAGTGAGTTTGTTGCAGCGTGAAGAGGACTGTGCCATACAGACTAGCCTTTGTAGGGCTAGAAGAGAAATAAAGAAGTTTTCTAGGTTTGCATCGTTCGCATCCTGTCCCAAATGGTTCTTTAAATTCCATTTTTGGTCTGACAGAGAATTTACAGGCCACCTACTTACAAGGACATATGAAGAATTTCGTTTGTTTCTGGCTTCCAGACCCCACGTAGCAGTTGCTCAAAGTTAGACATCAAGGCAACACCAGAACCTGTAGAACAGTAAAAGTGAACAGCTAGAACTGCTGCTCCAGCAGAGTTCCCCCAAGGGATAAGGATAACCTAATGGGAACAAAAGGTTCATGACATTCTTCCCAAATTTAGAAGAAGTTAGCCTAAAGTAACAGAGCAAGACAAACGCTTTCTAGACCTTCTGATGCAGGGAAAGGGCATTTGCCTCTGTTCCAGTTGCTGATGCTCAAATGCTTGCTCCAAACAAAAGCCAAAGGAAAACTGACTGGGCTGTTTCAACTGGTAGAACTCCCCTGAAAAGATACAGGCCAGGCCAGAGACAGTACAACATGGGAGCAAGAATAAAGAATTCCTGATTTCTCCAGTTGTCCAGTTCTTCATGCCTCCATTAAAGTGAGATGATGACTCAGGTGACAGCCACTGCGTGAGCATGAGCGCACACCTGTTTCTAGGGAGCGGGACTGAGGCTGGCTGACCACATCCACTGGTCAGCACCCAGTTGATGTGGTCACCTTAAGCTTCACTCACAGCTTCTCCCATCCCTCCCCACAGGGCTGGTGCCTCCCTGCTGCATTAGGAGTATCTCACGGTTCACCTTTGACCCATCCAGTAGCCATCATAACGAACCACCCGTGGTGGTAACGGTGATGAGCGTGGTGGACCCCAGCTGCAATTTTACGAACTCTGACCACTTCCTTCATTGCCACAAAGATGAGCTTCAGAGGCAGAAAGCTAACACACTTGTAGAAGAGGTTCATGGGACAGAAGAATATCAAATACCTGGAACAAAACCACAAAGAGTTTATTTGTTTGTCCTGATCTGGGATGCACAGAGGGGATTGAGAGTACTGTGGGGTCAGCCTGAATTACGTCAGGGAGGAGGAAAGGAACACATGCAACCCATACACACCGAGGAAATGAAACCTGGAGTAACTGTGGTTAATTTGTGCCTGTTTCACTAACATGATGACTAAAATGCCCCCAAATCTTCAGCATGGGCCATTCCTCTACTATATGTGGTATCGGTGCAGCACACGCTGCTTTTGTGGTTTGGCCACAGTTCAGCTGCAGCAGCTATGAATAGAAATGCCTGGTGGCTGGACTGGACCCAGCTCAAAGACAACTGGTCAGAGAAGCTGGAAACCAGATCTAGGAATATGACAGACTCAAAACCTACCTCACCCCACCTCTTCTTTCCCCAGTAAATCCAAGCAGGATAATACACGGGTCTCTACACAGCCAGCGGTGTCTCACACTTAATAAACTGGGTGCAGAAGACTCACCAGACCGCTGTAGCCAGGATGACACTGGAGTTATTACTGAAGTAATCAATCGGTGGTTCCCCAAGTAACAGATCAGCAAGTATGTAACTTCCAAAGCAGTGGAGCATAGCACAAAGCCAGGAGGCCAAAGGGCTCTTATGTGACATCTCCACAGCTCCTGTGAAGCAAATTCTAAATGAGAAGATGGATTCAGCAAATAAGCAGAAACTTCAAGACCCTCTGAGAAGGAGGCTTGCAGTGCATGTTCTCCAACAAAATAAGTCAAAAGAAAAGTGCTTGTAAAACAAAATACAAAAATGTGTATTCTGTGAAACCTGAACAAGTACCAGATTATTGTCAAGAAGTGATACGTGTAATCACAGCTTGCAGGCCCCCCGTAAGGTTTCAGATGAACTAGGTCATTAGAAGGTGATGAATCAGATAAGAGTTTTATCTCTGGTATTTGCTGCTGCTTACTGCAATCAGAAAACAATTTTTCCCTTGAAATCAATGTCTTTTTACAGTCTGAAAATAAAATGCATACTAGTACCATTCTCTCCATTCTCTCCATTGCTTCAACCTAGGTGCCCTCTAGAATTCATGAACAATCTGTTCAGCTCTTTCATTCAAAAGATAACCTGTAAAAATAGAACAGTAATTCTTAATCTTTATTTGAAAGAAGAGGATTTGAGGATTCTTCCCTGCTCCTGTACTAGTTTGGAAATGCCCTTTGAAAATACAGTTAGATATTAAAACAGCATTGCTATTTGAGAATACATTACGGTCTCTTCCCACAACCTTCTACTGCTTTATTTTTATTCCTCTAGCCATTTTCATCCACATCTTCAAGGAAATCTCTCGAGAACATCAGTTCTGTAAGACTGTTTCATCACCTTACTGAGAGCAGCCCTGTGGGGAGGGACTTGGGGGTGTTGGCTGACAGGAAGCTCAACATGCCCAGCACTGTACACTCGCAGCCCAGAAAGCCAACCCTGTCCTGGGCTGCATCAAGAGAAGTGTGGCCAGCAGGTCGAGGGAGGGGATTTCTCCTCTCTGCTTCACTCTGGTGAGACCCACCCCCTGCAGTGCTGGGTCCAGCTCTGAGGGCACCTACATCAGAAGGACACGGACCTGTAAGAGCAGGTGCAGAGCAGGCCACGAAGACGATCAGGGGCTGGAGCACCCCCCTGTGAGGACAGGCTGGGAGAGTTGGGGGGTTCAGCTGGAGAAAAGAAGGCTCCGGGGAGACCTTAGAGCGGCCTCCCAGGGCTTAAAGGGGCTATGGGGAAGCTGGATCAGGGGTGTAGGGATAGGACGAGGGGTAATGGTTTTAAACTGAAAGAGGGCAGATTTAGATGAGATCTAAGGAAGAAATTCTTCCCTGTGAGGGTGGGGAGGCCCTGGCACAGGTTGCCCAGAGAAGCTGTGGCTGCCCCCCTCCCTGGAAGGGTTCAAGGCCAGGTTGGACGGGGCTTTGGGCAACCTGGGCTAGTGGAAGGTGTCCCTACCCAGGGCAGGGGGTGGGACTGGGTGGGCTTTAAGGTCCCTTCCAACCCAAACCATTCCATGATTCTACAATTAAACTGCTCCAGACTCTGTGCAGTGTTTCAGGTGCCAAACTGTTCAGAAAGCTGGTAACAGGCAGCCAAAAGAGAGAGAATGCTAAAATGTTATGTCAACATTACTGACAGTGGCCACCTTAAACAGCAGTAAGTGACCAGCATACGCTAAAACTGCTCAGACTTCCATCCTCAAAGACATTTGAACCAGCTGAAAACAGTGGAAGCCAGACAGCTGCAGCAGCCATATGAAGCTGGTTCTATAGGAACCTGAAGTTTAGCTTGAGGCTTAATTTTAGTAACACTTGTTTTTCTTTGGCTCCGTGAAGCCATGCTGTCTCCAAGGAGGAAACAGGACATCACTGTCCTGACACCGATCTTCACCGCCGGAGCTGTGGGATGAAGGGGTGTAGGAATCTCGTGAAAAGTACACGCCAGCCTTGTCTGGTCCAAGTGGGTTACTGGCCTTACATATTTTTAAAAACTGTTTTCATAAGGTTTGCCTCTAAACTGTTCTGTTCAGGCCTTAATGCTGGAAGACATCTGTAAGTGATCAGGCCCTGAAAACCCAGCACTTCTGTTTACATGGAGTTTAACTAGAACAGCATGTAGGCTGTACAGCACAGAGCTCTCACAAGTGGAGGATTTTAAAATTATACCCAAGTGTGGTTTTGTTTTTTTTTTATCTCCTCAGCCACGGGGCAGTTACACTGAAACCGTTCAAAATAGAGCACGAAGAGGGCACACGCTATCAGAAGTACATCGAGAAGACTGCAACGGTGCAGAAAGTGGAAGCTTAAGATGCAGATCTATCGATCTTCACAAGATAAGCCCGAGAGAACAAACAAAGCAAGGTCAGTTAGGGTGCCTGAGAAGAGATTACAGCATAGTCTGGAAGGTGGGAAAAAAAGAAGGTTTTACTTACAACCTTTTTGTATATAAATAGGAGGAGAGTATTACCACAAAAATAGAAAAGCAACTGGGAAGAAATGTAACACTGAGTCCTGGGATAGCGGCAAAGAAGTGACTGAACTTAAATACTTCGGTGTGGTTGGAATCCAATCGTAAATAAAATGCAAGGTTAATTTTCAGAATCAGAGTGACTAGTTCTTGGAGGTTTTCACTGCTTTCTATTTATACCTCTGAACAAGCAATTCCACAAGCCTCTGAGCCCCGAACGCGGCTGCTCACAGCGCAGCCTGCGGCGGACAGGACAGGCAAAGGCAGGGCTGGGCTGTCGGTGCACAAAAAATGTCGGGTTTATGGCTCAGAAAAGACGACCCGAGCGGCCCGCGGGGCCCGGCCACCCCCCGCGCTCGGAAGGCGGATTCCCCCGGCC